CCTGTGGACTTGGAAATTAGTAAAGGTAACAGTATGCGTGGCCGGACCCTCCTGCAGACCAGCAAGCCCAGTGCTTGGCATTTCTGTGGGATGTGAGGCTAAGGAAGCACGCTTCCTTGACTTTTAGTTGGCCTCTGTGTTACAATCTCATTCAAATGTCTTTTTATTTTATTTTTTAAAAAGAATTATTTTATTTAACTTTGTTTATATATTTATTTTTATTTGACCAGAAAGGGACAGAGCAAGAGAGAGAGAGTAGGAAAGTGAGAAACCAAGCCACCAAGTCTGGGACTCAAACCGCAGTTGGCCATGTGGTAGTTCATTGTCTACCTGCTGGCCCCAAAATGGCTTTTTAAAAATAAAGGTAAAAATGAATATACCAAATACATTTTTTAAGAATTATTTTATTAAACTTTATTTATTTAAATTTGACCAAGAGGGATAGAGAGAGAGAGAGAAAGTGAGAAAGCAAGCTGCCAGGTCCAGGGTTCGAACCGCGGTCGACCATGTGGGAGTCCAGCACCCTTAACGTCGTGCCACATGCTAGCCCGAATATACCATCTACTCCTCTAGATATCAAAAATAGGAACTTTTGTCTGTCAGAAGAGCATCGTCGTCTTCTGTAGGCATTTCCTGCAGCAGTGGTAGATACTAGGCACCCTCAGCCCGCCCTCCACATTAGCAGTCCTGCCGAGCAGCCGGCTAAATGGGCCTTCTTAGTGAATGAGAAGGTGTCCCCGGAGCAGCACAAGCTCCTCTGCCCTCCTGAGCAGTGACACACACTCTGCATTTGTGCCATTATCAGCCAGGGTCTGCCATCTCTCTGGGGCTCAGCAGGGCTGGCATGTCTTGCAAGCATTTAGGAGGAGCCCCAGGTTAACGTTGTCTTGTTCGAAGTGTGGCTTTAAGGAAATCCTGTAGCAAGGTTCCGAGTTTGTGAAAAATGTTGTTTTATAATACCGAAGCTCGACCAGGTATGTGACAAGCTAAGGAGAGTTCTCAGAGCAGCAAGGTGTCTGGGTCTGTAGAAGAATCCATCTGAACTGAGCACGTTGCCCCTTCCCTGCATCCCACACCTCACACCACACTCCTGGTGGTCCGGCACTGTCTCTTCCGGGTCTGCTCACAAGGTGGTGGGCTTGGCTGCTGGGCCGGTCTCACTGTCCTCCCTCCTCTCACGTTTCCAGCTGTCTCGTCATTCAGCACCAGCGTGGTTTTTTATCCCAGTTGAGGACCTGAAAGGGGAAGAGAGAGTTACGTGATGGGCTGTCCTTCCCATTTTACTTTCCCATCAGGAGCCGGGAGTGCAGCCCTACCCAAGTAGGCACCTGTGCCCTGCACTCCTGCATCTCATGCACCCCACATCAGCCATCGGGGCTGACTTGCTGTCTCCACACTGGTTTTGTGGGTGTACGTTTTCCTGCTTGTTATATGTGTTTCTGTATTGGCTGCCACCTCAGATGCTTTCTAGAAAGAGAATGACATAATTGGCAACAAGAGGACCCCACGTAGGTCATGGGGGTAGGAAATAGGGA